TGATCTGTTGTCAAGAAGATGATGCAGATCATCCCATCTACAATTTCTTTCCTATGTCGCCTCTTACGACGGGACGATATGATGTGTTGGATTTTCTTTCACCGCCACAACAGTGCGAATATTTTTCTATTCCCGTTCATGAGTGTAGTGTTCCTCACGTTCACTGTGTATAAAATTTATAAGAAATAAAAGTAATTTTAAGGATTTTATCGCCTTTAATTTTAACTTTATAAATTCCCGATGGTTTGTGCAATTTACAGCACCCATGGTCACGGGAGGGGTGGGAGAACTGAGGTGTTTGACGACCTGATGTCATAGTTAAAATGCAGTAGTAGTTTGAATTTAATTTTATTAATCATGGAGTCCTTAGCAGATAGTAGCACTCAGTCATCTTCCCTATTAAAATTAGGATATTTTTAATTTCAATAGCCTCGCGAATCATCATTGGTAGGATTCGGTGTTCTATTGCAAGAATTTGTTGTATATAATGGTTGGGACGATACTAAACATGTTTACATACTTTAGACTTCCCGGAGCTTCGGTGCTTTCATTCGGTGAGGAGTCAAGATGCGTAAAAAAACCCGTAACATTAGTTTTAATCCATGTGTGGTATTCATTATTATAGAACTGTATTTATGAAATTTTCAAGTCTACTCGAAGTAAATAAAAATATCTATATCTTTTTATGGTGCCAATCAATATTAAATAGGACCAATGATATGAATAAAATGTCTCAAATAAACATTATATTACTTTGTTAAAACTAAATTTACTTTAACTATGAATATATATATATATATATGTAAAGAGTAAAATGTAAATAATAATAATACATTTTGATTTCAAGACTATTTACCTTTCTTATGGATACATCGGATTCGGAAGACACGCCATATATAAAAAATAGTAGGAGTTTTTAGACATTATAAGTATATTCACGTGTTTCTGTAGCATGTTACTAATCATCTACGTCTAATAGTATTTTAGAATGAAAAAAAACCTCTGACAGACATAGAGCCATAGACACCAAGGTGACTCTAAAAGTGATCGAATATTTCTAAATTTGACACGGAACAGCATTTAATGATGTCCCTAAACTCAAGCGCACGCGAGCGAAGCCGCGGGTAAAAAGCTAGTACTAAATAAGTTAGCATTGTGTTGTCTGTAGAAACAAATAAAATCAAATCAACACAATTAACATAAAAATAATTGTAATTCTTTTAATCTACTTACATAAAAATGAAATTGCACTGCGCAACTGTGTACAAAATTAAATCGAATATTGCGTAAGTTTAACAAAATATTAGTTTCAACCCCTTTCATTACTTATATCTAGGATTTTTGTTACCTCGTTTAGCATCAATTTAACATGTACATAAGTAACTTTGCATCCTTGTTTTAAAAGATTTTTAGGGGAAATATGGATATTTTATACTTAGTTTTAAAGAGAATTTGAACCAGTTTTTAAATTAAAACATCATTAATAAATTTAAAATTAAATCCAAACCTAAGCATACAACTGCAAGACTTCAAGATAATGTAAGTTCATACTGCGTAGATTGGAACAAAAATTAATATTATTTAATCTGTAGGTAGCCGTGGTTAACTATGACATAGTGACGTCAAACACCTCAGCCCCCCGTAAAGTACTCGAAACGTCGGGAATATAAAATAAGTTAATATACGCGATAAAATCCGTAAAACTAGTTTTATTTAAATATACTTTCCATATAAAATAAATAACGTAATCGTATGTGATACCGCCATGCTGGAGCTATACATATTATGCTTGTAACACGAATGGGTCGGCACGACCGGGAACGACCCAGACCACGGTTTCAAAATGCCAGCGTAAATAGTAGCTTAACACTTTCACTGTTCCATATTCAGACACAATGGCGGCTAATAATCTTCCACCCACCAGATGTCGCTAGTTGTGACTAAGGTAAAGTTTTCTGTTACACAGTGTCAATCAATTGAGAAATTAGTTTTAAATAATAATTTATCAGTTTCTATAGTTTTATATTAATACATAACACAACGCGTCAGTGATTTGCTCTTTAATTTTTTGTACTTTATACCCATCGATCACTAATAAAAAATCTAGATAAACAATCCCATGCAAAAGTTCTCTAAAAATTGTCGCCAATTGTTTTGGCGTAGAATTAGTTGAAATAAATATACGATAATGTAAATTCAACCTTAAGTGCATTGCCTAAAGCTGTATTCACAAAGCTACGTACAAATTAAAAGCGCACTCAAATGTTCGAGTGGGCGCTCATTCGGTAAGGACATTTTTTGTCATTGTGTATTTAGTTTTTTATTAGTGATCGATGTTTATACCCCCTTTTTATTTATTTTTTTACTTTTAGTCATATTTATAGTTTGGTTTATTTATGTATTTTTAATCTAATTAATCTATACAAATAAATAAAATTGAAGTGTCTGTTTGTAATGTAAAAATTACAGCTTTTTACTAAATGCATATGAAAGTATTTAAAGTTTTTGTCTGTCTGTCTGTCCGCCTGTCTGTCTGTTTGTTACGGCTAATCTCCGAAACGGCTGGACCGATTTTGACGGAATTTTCCCTGGCAGATAGCTGATGTCACAAGGAGTAACTTAGGGTACCTTTAGTTTAGAAAAAGAATTAGGGTTCCGCGCAAAAAAATTAAAAACCCAAATAACACGCGAGCGAAGTCGCGGGAAACAGCTATTATAAAATATAATTAATAATACAGAAAGAAACATTAACCTTTACATTTTTCTAAGAAATTATTTTCCCCGTTATGAAATCTCTAAAATAATTAACCTCATTGAAAAGTGGCGCCGCCCTGGTGGCAGAAAAAGTCGTGGATGCTCTCATTGTAAGACAATAGCAATAAACTTTATGTAGTACACGGGGCAGGTAAAGGGTTAAAGCTGCTGTGTTTCGTATGCTGAGTGTAGAGAACCGGAAGAACCGTAGACCATTTTTACTGGAAACGGGGCATTCCATCTTAGTCCTCATGGGTGCCATCTACATTTATTTTTTCATCCCGGATAGAGGTGTCTATAAGCCACAGCTTCCACTAACCGTAAGGTGGACTGTGTGCTCGTTTATCGCCCTTCTGTAAAACAATCAAACTTAAGATAATTTGTGGTTATGTATTCTAACCATTGAGAAACTGGGTCGTCATATAGAAATAATGATCCCAGAACCTAAATTATGGATGAGATGCTCATTGAATGAAATCGCGTGCTACCCTCAACTGCCAATGTTCCCACGGTTGTTGTCTTTGGAAATCATAACAAGGAGTCTAAGGAAACACCTCGATTTAATATTTTAGTGCAGTACAGTTGTGTAGATAAGTCTTTGTTTTGTGAAAAGCGAGTGAACATTGTTTTCAACAATCTAACACTGATTTTGTTTAATGTGACCACAAAAACGATGTCATCATATATGTGCTCACTTTGTCATGACAAGACTTTGTCAACGTGATTTGAAGTTTATTTCAGATAAGTGTTTAACTTTATCTCGAAATTGCCTGAAAAAAGTAACTGTCGTAAATAAAAATACAACTGCGTGGTGTATTTACTGTGCAGCTACCCGCCATCTACTAATCCACAGCTGAGACATAGTTTTTGCACAGCCTAAGGCCGCGTTCCGACGACACGCACCCGCTACGCGCACCCACGCGCGTCAGCACCCGTGTCTAACTCACTTTGAAATTTGTTGCATATAATTTGAGTCTTATGGCAAATCAATAAATTTGAAATTGCATTTATCGACGTTCAACCGCACACGCCACGCGCCCGCCTCGTTCCCGCTACGCGCCGGCCCCGCGCTCGCCCCGCACACGCCCTGCACCCGGCCCGCGCTTTTTATACAATTTCAGATGTATTGATTTGTCATAAGACTCAAATTATATGCAACAAATTTCAAAGCGAGTTAGACGCGGGTGCTAACGCGCGTGGCGTGCGCGTAGCGGGTGCGTGTCGTGGGAACGCGGCCTAAGAAGAACATACAGTCAGTCATCGCGTTTGATGTTGTTGGAAAAGCCGATAAATCAAACCGGAAGTAATAAAAAATTGATGTTATTTTATTTCACGTTTAAACAAATTAATGTGCACGTGAAAACTGATGAAAATAATTATTCCTTATCTTTAAATGAGGACGACTCACAGTTTTTTACCGCACATGTAGTGTAAACCATTTATTTGCGTGACGGGACAACCCTAGCGGACAGTTAACCGCTCGGGAGCAATACACCGGCGTCTCAGCCCGCACCGCACCGAACGATTGCCCCGTCTAGACGCCTTCGATGACCGACTGTTAGTAGTAGTTAATACTGTTGTTTTGTTTCGAATTGCCTGTCTAGTAATATACGTCTTATAGTACGTATATAAGTCTTTAGAAATTTCCATAGTCGCCTTCCTTTCACTGCGAAAAATGTAAAAAAAAACTTTGGATTAATGCAAAGACTTCACCTTGTTTTTACAACCTGACCAAGGATTTTCCAATAACTATTTTTCTACGCGATTGTACAGATAAAACCTATTTGCTTAACGGAACCGCACGTATATGTAGCATGCAAGCTATTTTAAATAGCGTATGCTTTACTTACCGCTCATAATGTGCTTAATTATTCAAAAATTGGATTAGAGTTGCCGTCGAAAGTTATTGTCAAATTATAACCTTGTCAGATTTCTTTCTTTGCGCGCGAAAAGTAACAGATATTTTCGTTTTTATTAAAAAAAAATCAATCTTGTAATATTTTAGTTTTTTTTTTTCAATTTAGACAACTCAAATTGAATATATAAATAAATATTGTCGACTAAAGACAAGCGCGTTTAAAATATAAGATAAAAAATTGTGTTATGTTAGAAAAATTAAGAATTTTATTTTACGTTTTCATGACACTGTTCATTCCGTATTTATTACAAGAATATATTTCAGCAATTCTAATTAATAAAGTCAAAGGGTGCAACAATTGCCGTTCATGCAATAGATTTTATTAAAAATGGAGTGGCATTGCCTTTTGTTAATTTTACTCATCAATTTAGGTTGCGTGGTGTCGGAGCTGAGCTTGAGATTTAGTAAGTATTTAATTCTATAAGTGGGCCACTCAGAAAGTTTTGCGAGACAATAAAAAGTTTAAAGTTTTTTTTTCTAAAATCTTTTGAAAGAATTATCCCCCAGCACGGCTAGCATGGGCTGGGGACAAAAATGTATCCTTCCATTATATCCACTGAAAAGAGATAAAATTATCTTGTGCTTATGCCAAAACACGGCAACGGGGAGAAGTATAACCCCGTTTGACATAACGAGTAGGCATATATCCCCCGTCCGAGCCAAATGAAATATAAAAAAAAATTATGCTTTTTTGAGATTCGAAAGGTACAATTTTATCCTACGGACGGGGGCTTAAGTTTACATATTCATACAAAAAATCTAAGTCTATCTCCCATTTTATCTACTGTGGATATTATATCTACCGGTATGATTATGCTCGAAGGACGGATAAAACTATGTGAGAGGATAAAAATTTTCTCCTTTCCCCGGGGATAAATTCCTGCGGCATCTATACAAAGTTTCATTCGTCTGAATCAATTTTCGAACCATTTTACTTCAATATAAATAAAATGAGAACATCATAAATGTAATCGATGTAATTGATAATTAAATACGCCGTATGGTTACACCACACATTTGTATTTAGTAAGCGCTGCAACTACTTTTAGCCGCGCGTCGCGTGTATTTAAATTTACTTAATTAATTGCAATCTCACAATCACACACCGTACTTCTAAACGCCAACTACTCAAGGAAAGATTTGCCACTCTAACTTTATAACTATTTTACTTTTATTAAACATGTAATTTTGGTGATCTTTTCCTTTTGACGTGCTCATTAAGGCGACACCGCGAAAAAAATCCTTTCATCGAATAGTATAGGAGTATGACACGACTAACGAAACTGGAATTTTGATATAGGTAAATTCATGTCTTTATCTTGAGTTTGCTTGCTCAAAAACACGATTGTAAAATTTTGACTCGAACATAATTATTTGCGAAAACACCTCTAAAAAATCACTATAGTTGAAATTACAACGAAATTACTTAATCTATATGCTTGGAAACCACTCGAATACATTCATAACATCAATATTCGTAATTTACTTGCTCATTATTTTGATTATTAAAATCAATAATTTTTTTTTAAATATTTTAAGATTCTACGCGATTTCTAACCGGTTTTAATGGTCGCGGGCGCTACGCAATTTTAGACCTTATGACGGCGTTTTTGAAGTTTTTATAGAAATTATGTTTTAGTCTGGTTAGTCCGGCGATAGCCCGCTTCAACGGTTTTCGATGTGTCGCCTTAACTAACTACAACTCTACTTCTTGAAAGTGTGTGGCCTTATAAACCATACATACGCATTATTAAGGATAACTCGAAAAACTACTGATCAGACCTTGATCAAATTTATATAGGACCACATGAGGAGCACCAGCTTTCAAATAAAATAGAATCAACAAAATCATTTCACCTAGAAAAAATTTCTGAGGTAGCACACATAAAAAATACATTCGAGGTGAGTACCTCTTCCTATTTTCGAAGTCGCTTAAAAAGAAGTCATACGGTCTCAAATCATGGCTGAAAGTAGGGTGACGCAAAACCTCGACTGGTGTGCTATCCAGTACATTCCTTGCTGAGTGCGCGGGCGTATTGTCATGATGAAGGCCTTGTGTTCGGTTCCCTGTTTACAGCAGTGAATATAACTGGCAAGCGTTTGGTTTGCACTGATACTGATGTCACTTTGATATGTTATAGGATTTGACGCTAGATACCCGCCAAAGAAAAAAAATCTGAAATACGGTTGCCCCTGCAAGCCATCCCTGAAACTTCCCGCTATGTTCGATTTCAAAACGCTCGACAAATATTCCATTACGAACTAATAGCACACGAGTAAAGAAACTGTACAGAGGCAAAGCTTCTAAGGAGCTGTCAATTTTTTTACATATTTTGGTAGGGTTGTCACAGAAAGATAAAACTAAATAAACAAAACGTTTATCGGCATTCTAATAGATACTTAAATGTTTTACTTTTATAATTATTGTTCTTCAATAATTTGTTGTAACTTTTAATTAAATGGTAAATTCTAAATTTAATGTAGTTTTTTTTTTTTAAATAATCTATTGGAAAGCACTCGCATTTCATAATAAAAATAAAATCTTGCACGCGTTTTAATATTTCACCACCAATATTTACAATGTTTCTTTAGACGTCAAAATATTCGCGAAATTTTCGCTCAAACAATTCAACAAACGCGATAAAATAGTCACGAAGTGTTATTAAAAATCCCAATTGAACACTATCTTTATTAAAATCCTTGTAATGGCTGGAAATAGAATATTTTCCCATATTTATAGGTTATTCAAATCTATTATAATTTAAAGTTAAAAATTATGTACAGCCGACTTCAATATAAGTTATTTAAGAATAACTTAAAAACTACACGAGAACTATCAGTTTTCATATAAAAAAATTATCATCGAAATCGGTTGACCCAGTACAAAGTTATGAGGTAACACACACATAAAAAAAACATACACTCGAATTGAGAACCTCCTCCTTTTTGTTTCAGTTAAAAATGGGTGCTAATTTTATAAATGTCACATTCATACATTACTTTCATCCAACCGTCCATTACAGCCCCTGACTATTCCAATGCTGAACATAGGCCTTCCCCAAGGAATAGCAAAACACAGTCGTGTACCACCTAATTCGATGGAGACTTCTTGGATGTCTACCAGTTCGTCACACACTTGAAGACCTTTGAAGCCTCATATAGAAAGCCTATGTACTAAAATAGATCGTTTCGTCTTTGCAATGTTGCGAATAAGCCTGATATCTTATCCTGGAAATGTCTTCCAACTAGGAAGCCATTTCCATTTGAGCCCGGAGCGGTTCGTCACGGAGTCCCAGCCGCCTCAGATGATCTGAGAGGACGACCGGGATTAGCCCGTTCGCAGAGACGACTACAGGTATAATTTCGGCCGGCAGTCCGCCCCACATGTCGGTCACCTCGTGAGCCAGGTCCAGATATTTTGTTAGCTTATCTGTTTCGGCTTTCACGAGTTTCTCGTCACAAGGAATGGTAATATCGACCAAAAATATCCTTGACTGTGTCCGGTTCATCAGCACAATATCAGGCTTATTCGCAAGAATAGTCCTGTCTGTGCTGATGGCCCGGTCCCAGTAGAGCCTGGCGCGGTCATTTTCGAGCAAGGCTTCCGGCAAGTACTTATAATACGGCAGTTTCCGATCCACGAGCCCGTATTTCAGAACGAGCTCCTGGTGTAGAATCCTGGCTACTAAGTTGTGCCTGTGCAAATACTCAGAGTTAGAAAGCGCCGAACAACCGGCCTAAGTGACTCACCGGCATGGCGACAAGCTCGACAGATGTCGACGGTGCCATCCTTTAGGATGTATCTCCGATAATTGTTGGTCTTAATAACCTGATCCTGTATCGCACAGACAAAACCCTCGGTTTCCCCAAAGAGGTCACCGAAACGTAGCCAGTGGAGGGAGGCGACTGTGTCTACGAAAGGCTCATGTAGAGCCTTGTAGAACCTCCCGTGGAGCTCCTTCTCCTTCCATACGGTCTCCCGGTCGGAAATGCTCTGTACTGCCGGGTTTTGCCATTGCTCGTTGGCTAAGGATAGAGGGGTAAGTCCTTTATCACAAGAAATAACGTCCCTATAGTGTGGATCATCCGCTCTCGTCAGAAAGTAATTACGGAAGCTGCACACTTCGCGATTATGCATGGTAAGCGCGCTTAAAAATTATTATTACCTTTCTTACTATTATTACCTTTCTTCGCCATGGATTGTCAGTTTTTTGACCTATATGGGTATATCGCCGGCCCATTGCCCCTTTAGCTTATTGTTACCCTGGGTTTAACTGCAGATATCTTTTCTACGATTACAATTTATTCTCTTTTTATAGAAGAGGGGGCAAACGAGCATGCGGCTCACCTGATGGTAAGTGACTACCGCCGCCCATGAACAACCGCAACGCCAGGGGAATTGCAGATGCGTAGCCGGCCTTTTAAAAAATAGTAAGCTCTATTCCTGAAGGTCCCTTAGTCGTATCGGTCCGGAAAAATCGCTGATGGTAATCGATTTATTGAGGAAGTTGCGCGAGGAAGAAAATTTCTTGTAAATCGCTCAGTGGTCGACCGCTAATCATCCAAATGGTGTCAATGGTATCTCGAGTATTATCGAGATGTGCGATGGTGAAATTGGGCGGCTGGAATTAGTCCGAACAATTCCTCTGAGCACTCCCCGTGGTAGATACGATAGAATACGCAAAGAGATGCAACATCTCTTCGCAGGGCCAGTGAGTCAAGCCGATCAGAAAGAGCTCGGTCGCCGACCAATCAGTTTTATTGTTTGTTGCAGTCTTCATTATCGAGATACATGAGGTGGATCTGCCTGAGAAGATAGGCCGTGCTATGAAACTAACCGAAAACGCTAATTCGGAACTGAAATTAAGCGACGATATTGTCATATTGGACAGAGAAAACGAGGAAGAGGGTTACAGGCAATGTCCGTATTACTTTTTTTTTATTAAATATTTTTGTTTATAAAATACTAGCTGGCTGGTTGGTGGTAGCGCTTTTTTTTTCTTTGCTGCCGCAGAAGTATGGAGTGTTATGGAGTGTAGAGTAGAAGGAGGACCATCTCTGTATATGAAAAGCGTCCCTAAAAACGTGTCCAATAAGGGTGGCGCTGCAGTAGCATAGGATAAATTAAAAAAGAAGCGCCAAACGTATTTAGAATAAGATGGAGAAATAAATAAGGACCGATCAATCCGCTTGGTTTTGTACTACGTAAATAGTTGAGATTTTGTATACTGGCATTTTACTAACTACTCTAGTCATGAAATACTCTAGTCATGAATTTTCTACGTGGTAGAGCCATGTCTACGTGGTAGAGCCATGCTGCAGCTATATTATGGTTGTAGCACGAATGGGTCGGCTCGACCGGGGAAGGGCCACGCTCTCACAGAAAACCAGCGTAAAATAGCAGCTTAACGCTGCTGTGTTTCGTATGGTGAGTGTAGAGAACCGGAGACCCTTTTTACTGGCAAAGAGGCATTCCATCTTAGTCCTCACGGGTGACAACGCATCTGCATCTTGAGTCTTTATTGAGGATGGATGTGGATGTCTGTGAGCCGCAGTGGCCACTTGCCATCAGGTGGACTGTGTGATCGTTTGTCACCCGATCCTATAAAAAAAAATATTTGAATTCAGCTGACTTCACTCCGTTCATAACAGCTATCTTCATATCGTAGTTTTTCAGACGCCAGCGCTATTGTGGTAGGTTTTGGAACCTCTATTTACAGTAAATAGTAGGACACATTTTCAACCTTCGCTCTTTATAAGATGGTTCTCCTTCTACTCTACACTCTATACGCAGAAGCAATAATAGAGAAGTTGCATAAGTTTTTTTTTTTGCCACAAATTTACATATTATAAATGAAAAGATAATTTATTTAAAGTATATTTAACAATTCCATGTTTTTAGTAATTATTATAAATAAAAAATAGTTAAATTTTTGAATGAAAATAACTACTTGTTGATTGGTTGTGACGTCATTATATCACCAACTAGTTTTTGATTAAGTATTATAACACATAGTTACGACACTGGTGTACCCGTACCGTGGTGTAATCGACACGGTGTTACCGTGTAGTGGCGGTGTAAGAATATCCACTATCCCATATCATCCCGTGGGTGTCGTAAGAGGCGACAGAGAAATAGGTACTGAAACATATGTAATTATGAGCATAAGTATCTTCTTGATAATAGCTAAACTTTAACAAACAAACGGTAAAATTAAAAAATTGTAAAACCAACTTCAATGTAAATAAAACGAGGACATCCTCAATGTAGGCGAAGCCAATTAATTTCTTTTTATAGGATAGGGTGACAAACGGTCACATAGTCCATTTGATGACTGACAGTCATCCAAGCTCGATTAAAATTCAAAATGCAGATGCGTTGTCAGCCGTGAGGACTGAGATGGAATGCCGCCTTTCCAGTAAAAAGGGTTTCCGGTTCTCTACACTCACCATACGAAACACAGCAGCGTTAAGCTGCTATTTTACGCTGGTATTCTGTGAGAGTGTAGTCTTTCCCCGGTCGAGCCGACCCATTCGTGCTACAACTATACTACTAATATAGCTGCAGCATGGCTCTACCACGTCTAAATACGCATTATTAAGGATAACTCAAAAACTACTGGTCAGATTTTGATCAAATTTATATGGATCACATGAGAAACACCAGCTTTCAAATAAAAAAAAGAATCATCAAAATCGGTTCACCTAGAAAAAAGTTATGAGGTAGCACACAAAGTATTTTTTGTGCTACCTCATAATTTTTTTTTACTTATTATAAGCCAGTGCTTTACCACAATCCCACCTGGTGGTAAGTAGTGATGCAGCCTTAGATGGTAATTTGAACTGTCTTAAGCGTAACAAAAGCCTATTCACTCTTGCCTTGAAGACACCCAGATTACATTCGGACGGAAAGATAGACGCCGGCAAATTATTCCACTCCTCTGCTGTACGCATTACAAAAATTTTTTCTTTTCATTTTATGTTCCTTTTTTGAAGTCTGTTGAAACACAGCGGTAGCTAACCCGCCTACCAATCGTTGCAACTGTGGCAAATAAAATGTCATCCAGACCAAATTTCGATCACGGCAACCATTATCAATTGAGACCAGCCATCTGCGCAAGACAGGATTATAGTGTCCAGGTGTATGCGCAAGCACAGGTGCACTCTCATAGCATGATGGGACGGTAACCCGACACAACCTGAGGGAGATTCGGCGCAGGACCAGCAGCTTTACGTGCTCTCCGAGGCACGGGGGTGAGACACCGCCAACTTCCTGACTGCGGGCAGCTACTGAGAATTTGTTGATGGAAAAACTCAATAACCGGGATTCGAACCTGGGACTTCATGATCAGCAGCCGCGATTACAACTACTACACCAACGAGGCAGTCATGTCAAATATTCTCTCTAGGCAATATGGAAGAAACCTTTGTTTAACCAATGACCTATTCAGGCTGTAACCATCTTTGCTTTTTCTTTTTTTTTTAAAGCGGGAATGAATGTACTTTCATATTGTTGCAGTGTGTTCAGCTCTTACTAAAGGAGCGTCCGTCATCATCGACCTATCCTGGTCTTCTTGGGAGATGGCGGAGCAGTTGTCCTCGGAATCGGGATTGCCTTTACTTCGGACGGTACTAGGGTCACAGCAACTGGTGGATGCTCTAGACAGTTATCTCGAATCTAGAAACGCTACCGACGCTGCTATTTTGTTAGAGAGTGAGAGCGGTATGTCATTTTCATTAAAAACCTATCTCTGTGTAAATACAGTGTGACTATAATGATGTTACTGGATGGATTTTGACCACCACAGTAACCTTGAGCATTGTAAGCTAGATATTATTATTATAGTATTATATACAGCGAACCACCCCGGCCTTGCCTCGATGGCATCTAATAATGTAACGTCATTTAGATTAAGAATATTATCATAAGTTATTAGTTTTATCAGCGTTTTGATTTCACAAACATGTCTAAGTGTTTCGGATAATAAGCTAAGCTGGCATTGTTCTCTATTAATCGATTAGCCCAAACTAGACATGCGCGCTGAGCAAGAATATGGCGGCGGCGGCGCGCCGTCTCATTGTGGTCGGCGTGGCAACGCCGCGCCGGCGTGGCCGTATTTTTTTAAAATTTTTATAAACATTTATTTAAAATAAGGGTGTAACTCTGTCCTGGATAGGAATTCAAATTTAATTTCTCAAAATAAAAACAAACCAAACAGGTTCTAATTAGTTATACCTTATAATTTGTGCAAAAACGAAAAAGCACATCTTTTTCGTCTTTTGCACAAATTATAGGAAATTAAAATTGTGTTTTTTGCACAATGTATAATTATTATGCATAAAAATAATTTTATTAACGCGTACTGGGCTTAGTCTAGATCTTTTAGTAGTCACAGTTAGTCCCACTCCCACTATAGAAAAAACGCGCTCACTAGGCGTGCTAGAAGCAAATGTTCAGATCACAGAGTATATATTTTATATAATGAAAGTTCTGATACGCGCTCCATAGACTGTAAAAATTTAATTTATTCTATTTCCGCCGCTCGCTTCAATTCCCAAACAGACAGACATACAGATCATCATTACAGCCCGTCACAAGTCCACTGCTGAACATAGGCCTCCCCCAAAGAATGCCACAATGCACGGTCCCGAGCCACCTGGATCCATTGACTTCCTGCATGTCTTACCAGGTCGTCACTCCATATAGTGGGGGGACGCCCTACACTTCGCCTGCCGGTACGAGGCTGCCACTCGAGAACCTTTTTTCCTCAACGGTTGTCGGTTCTTTGAGCTATTTGGCCAGCCCATTGCCACTTCAGCTTACTAATCCGTTGGTCTATGTCGGTCACTCATTTCTAAGTTTATCACGTAGAGACACCCCGAGCATAGCCCTCTCTATAGCTTGCTGAGCGACCTTGAGCGTTCTCATACGGCCAACAGGTTAACATAGTTAGCAGGTATAAATTACGTAAGATATTGTATAGTGCGATAGAGTTTATACGAAACTTCAACTGTCTCGTTAGTCTAGTGAACGCAAACGCGATTACTGGTCATGAGGTCCCGGGTTCGAATCCCGAGTCTAGCCAAAATCATTGGATAGCAGCCCGGAGTCAGGAAGAGTTTTATATGTGGTAGAGCCATGCTGCAGCTATTTATTTATTTATTATTTATTTATTCTTTTTTACATCTACCATATAATATATAAAGGGCGGACTTAATGCCTTGTGGCATTCTCTACCCGTCAACCCTGGATGATTTGAGAAGCTGTGGTAGGTGCAACACCACTCCATAAATTAATAAATAAGTAAAAACATTATATCTTATAACAAAAAGCAAATAAATAAAATATTTAGCTATATTAATAGTATAGTTGTAACACGAATGGGTCGGCTCGACCGGGGAAGGACCACGCTCTCACAGAATACCAGCGTAAAATAGCAGCTTTTTTAAAAAAAACGTTATCCCCACACTAGGATTTTCTCATGTATCGTGGAGGCAGTTTACAAACACAAATTCCACAAGGACAAACATCCAGACCCGGAACAATTATTTGCGGGCTATACAAATACTTGTTCCGTGCGGGATTCGAACCCGCGGCCCCCAGAGCAGCAACTCGTTGCTAAGCCACTGCGCCACGGAGCCGTCAACGGCTTAACGCTGCTGTGTTTCGCATGGTGAGTGTAGAGAACCGTAGACCCTTTTTACTGGAAACGAGGCATTCCATCCTAGTCCTCACGGGTGACAACGCATCTGCATTTTAATTCGCAAACGAAGATAGATGTAGATGTCTATGGGCCACAGCAACCACTTACCATCAGGTGGACTATGTGTTCGTTTGTCACCCTATCCTATAAAAAAACCGGCGGTATTGCACCCCGGCACCACGGAAAGCACATAAAGCAATGGTCCAGCGCCTGATCTCTCTCTGGTCGTGTGGGATTGCCGTCCCATCGGACTATGAGAGTGAGGGAATAGAGAGTGCACCTGTGCTTGCGCATACACTTGGGCACTATAATTTATAATTCGCCACGGTTCCGTGGCGCGGTTGCTTGAGCAATGAGTTGGTGCGCTGGGGGCCGCGGGCTGGAATCCCACACGGAACAAGTATATGTATGGCCTACAAATAATTGATTCGGGTGTGATGTTTGTCCTTGTGCATTTTTTTTTTGTAAACTGCAGCCATGATACAGGACAAAATCCTAGTGTGGGGTCACGGTTTTTTTTTTAATTAAAAAAAATAGAGCTCCAACCAACGAGACATCACTTCTGGTATGAATATTATGTAAATTTGCATTTTAATTCTTAAAGTATCCACTTCCCATAAGATGAAGTGTGTGTTCGTTTTCTTACTTCTATAAATAAGCTGAAAAATTTAAGCACGTTCATTTGTATTCCAAACTAAATCCTTTTTTTTTAACTTCCTCTGCTGTAAAAGGCCCAGACGGAGCCTAAACGAAACGGTTATAGACCAGGATATCATAAAACCTTGATAGATTTTTAATTTTAATTATTCAATTATCCAGTTCCCATCAGATGGACTGTGTGTTCCTTTTCTTACTGAAATAAGTTGAAATTGAGGCATGTTGATTTGTATTGCAAACTATTCCGTTTTTTTTTTACTTGCTCTGATGTAAAAGACCAAGGCAGAACAGCGTTAACAATACAGTTATGGACTAGGATATCATAAAACTTTCAGAGGTGTTTTTCAGACGTTGACAGAACTTTGTACGAGCTACTAGGGCGGTCCAACGTGCGAGTGTGGGTTCACGCGGGGTTAACTAAAGACTCCGCTAAAGCCTTGAAGTCAATGAGGCCGGAGCCCAGTTTCCACGTGATTGTCGGTGAAGGGAGATTCGTCAGAGATGCATACAAACGCGTGAGTATTTCATAATTCTTATTATTTATAAGCTTAAAACAATGAGACTAAAACAAAAATGTTTAATAGTACGCAACACTACTGTAGTAGTGAGCAACACGGGTTCGATCCCCGTCGGCACCAATGAAATTGTTAATTGTAATTTTTCTGATTTACCGCGTGCTCGACGGTGAAGGAAAACATCGTGAGAAAACTCGCATGTCAGAGAAATTACAAAAATATTTCAAAGATATGTAAAATCCACCAATAGGCATTGGGGCAGCGCGGCGGATATTTCCTTGTCCTAAGACCCTCTGAGATATGAGAGATGGCCTGTGACCAGCTGGTAAACTTATGTTATAGGCTGTAAATTTTATAATATGATACAAAAAAAAAACAGCGGTTTGTTGACGTTTATACTTCCAATGTCTCAGAGTAAAGTACCAGAGTATACATATGTACCTAGTCAGGTCATAAGTATTGTCACACAGTAAAAACTTTTCTTTTAGAATGCTGGCCACAAAAAAGTTTATTGAATTCGAATTTCGAATTGTTCATGAAAATAAAACTGTATACTTTTTAGAATTTTACTCATTTTTAAATATGGAGTGGACGCTTAAAGAAGACCGTGTTGCAGTTATTGCGTTGCATCGTTGCGGTTACGCGCCAATTCAAATTTTTGACATACTGAAAAATTTGAATATAACCAAAAGATCCATTTATCGTACCATCAAACGATATAATGAAGACTCTAGTGTAGATGACAGGTCAAGAAGTGGTCGCCCTCGGTCTGTTAAGACTCCAGTAGTGATAAAAGCTGTGAAGGCGTGAATTCAATGAAATCCCAAACGTTAGCAGAAACTGTTGGCCCTTCAGATGGGGTTAAGCAGAACCACGGTGAAAAGGGTGTTAAATGAAGACTTAGGGCTTCGGGTATATCGAAAAAAAACAGGACATCGTTTGAATGCTCGTCTAATGGACCTGAGACTGAAGAGATGCCGCGCTTTGTTGAAGCGGTACGCGGGAAAAAAATATCGGGAAATTCTTTTTTCGGATGAAAAAAATTTTATCGTAGAAGAGATCTACAACAAACAAAATGATAAGGTGTACGCACACAGTAGTGAAGAAGCGAGCAACCGTATTCCGCGTGTCCAACGAGGTCATTTTCCATCCTCGCTCATGGTATGGTTGGGAGTTTCTTATTGGGGCTTAACAGAGGTACATTTTTGTGAGAAAGGTGTAAAAACGAATGCAGTTGTGTATCAAAATACAGTCCTGATGAACCTTGTGGAACCTTATGAACCTGTTTCTCATACCATGTTCAATAACAGGCACTGGGTATTCCAACAAGGTTCGGCACCAGCTCATAGACCGAAGAGCACACAAGACTGGCTGGCGGCGCGTGAAATCGACTTCATCCGGCACGAAGACTGGCCCTCCTCCAGTACAGATTTGAATCCGTTAGATTACAAGATATGGCAACACTTGGAGGAAAAGGCGTGCTCAAAGCCTCATCCCAATTTGGAGTCACTCAAGACATCCTAGATTAAGGCAGCCGCCGATATTGACATGGACCTCGATCGTGCTGCGATAGACGACTGGCCGCGCAGATTGAAGGCCTGTATTCAAAATCACGGAGATCATTTTGAATAAACTTTAGTGTCATAAGAATCTATGTTTTGTTAAGTTCGTTTTGGTATATAAATGGTTACATAATGAATAAACTTGTTTCAATTATTTTATATTAAACATGTGACAGAATTTATGACCTGACTAGGTATAACGGCTACGTTTTACGCAAAAAGGCAAAAAAGCGTTTATTTTTATATTTTTTATATTAGATATTAACGGACTTGTAAATGGCTGTAATGTATGAATAATGAATGGATATTAGATATCTGTGTATATACAGATTGTCCCAGAAGTCGAAGACAAGCCGGAATCTGGTGATCACCGGATTCCTGCTTGACGTCGACATACGGGACAGCCTGTATATTAGTGTCCAGTTGAAAGTGAAATACAGCCTGTTTTATTAAACAAGTAATATATTTATTAGCCTAAAAATTTTATGCATTAAGGTCTAATTTCGACCACTAAGTGCCAATATCCTGTATCAAACAGGCGGTCAAGGAGAAGCTGGTTCGACGCGACTACCGCTGGAATCTGGTGCTGACTGATTACACGGCGTCCAGCTTCGATCTGTCGCAGCTGGTGCTGCCAACTGTCATCCTCCATGTCGACCAAGCTGAGTGTTGCAAGTTGCAGGGCTTGGAGGAGAGCTGCAACTGTCCTTTGGAGTTCGAGGTACTTTCTATTTGGTTTGTAAACCATATCGTCGTTTATCTGCCACGCCGTTCTAGTGGTCGTAAGCGTCTACTGATCATGAGGTCCCGGGTTCATATCCCGGGTCGGTCCAAAAATCAGTTATTGAATTTTTCTGTTACATTACTATTACTATCAAATTAGTAATTAGCTAACCTAACAACATCTTATAGTGACCACATCAATACTAAAAATCTTTTACATTTTAAATAAATAGATTGACTTGGCCATCGCATGAAAACACAATGTATCTCTCAAGTAATACATATTATATTAAATTAGATTGTTTAGTCGCGATATAACGATATTTAATTTAGAGTATCGAATTCGTATCAATTTCGATATATTTTAAAATGTTGTTTAATGGCAAAACATGTAACAACATAAGGAGGTACAAAAGTATCCATGTGTGGTCTGTTGTCGTTTTTTTTACGTTATCCAACCGTCAGTAATTTTAATTTTGACTTTATATCTTTACATCATGCAAATGATGACGATATATCACTGTAAGAAACGATTGCTTCCTTATTTACACAATGTTTATTTATTTATTGCTTTTCATAGAGCTACCATAGCTATGTTCGTGTACCAAAGCTTTTTACTACAACTAAGACAGTATGAAATACACTCCACTATTGACAATATAACACGTCTTTCGCCTCTAATTGAGGCACTTTACTCGAATGAGGAATTTTACTCTGCAATGGCTAACCGCTAAGCGGCTCAGAACATCTTTTATTTTACGAGTATGGTCAAATCATTTCATATTCTTCTTTTTTTTTCAGAGGAAGCAATTCATCTTGAACGCCCTTCTTCAGGTCGTAGCGAGTGCTTTTACCAAGCTTTCAGATGCGACCTTTCCATCCGTACGATGTGGTGACCGCAGAGGAAATGCACATGAGTTTGGAGACAAGTTCCGCGATCAGATTGTGGTAGAAACTTCCAGCAATGATACACTTTTCTTTTGGGATGCTGAAAGGTAAGGAATTTACGCCCGCGTATCTTAGTTAGATTATTTGATAACAGGTTTCGAAAGAAGAAAAGAGTTTCTGGTAGGTTTGTACCATGGTTTCTACCATACTCTCCTATTTCTGCTTTGTGTGTTGAAGAGAAAGTAAAAGTAGAAGTACTGAAACTCGAAATGATCTATTTAAATGATCGACCCAAATGACCCGATTCGTAAGAGAAATCAATACTTGAATGTTCGAGTCACTAGAAATGAATGACACATGTCTACTTGGAAGGTTATCATGCTAGTTAGTTGTGTTGGTCTTTCTTTTAGCATATTCCTCAAGTGGTCTTGCTTTTATCATAATCCTGTTACTCCAAGGATTATGATAAAAGCAAGACCAATATATATATATATATAATAGAGAAATAGTGTTTAGACATTTGGTTTCTTGATCCAGGTTATACGTGAATATCTGTGAGCCATTATATTAATTTACCATCAAGTATTTATACGTGGTGGAGCCACGCTGCAGCTATATTATGGTTGTAACACGAATGGGTCAACTCAATCGGGGAAGGACCACACTCTCACATAAATCAGCGTAAAACAGCAGTTTAATGCTGCTGTGTTTCGTATGGTAGAGTGTAGAGAACCGGATATGCTTAGTCCTCAAGAGTGACAATGCATCTGCATTTTGATTCTTAATTAAAGATAGATATAGATGTTTAATGGCCACAGTATCCACTTGTGGTGGACTGTGTGCTCGTTTGTTATCCTTATGTTTATACACATTAAAATTTTAACCAGGTCTAGCCTCTTCCTACGTTCCCGGTTCATTCTCTCCATTTACAAGCCTGACGCTGGTCTCGAGACTGTAGGGAATTGGTCTGCTGACGAGGAGTACAAGCTGCTTCCAGGAGTTGTGCTGGAGCCGTTGCGGATGTTCTATAGGATAGGAACTGCGCCTGTAAGTAAAAATAATTTGTAAGGATACTTAATATTGATTTAAAAAACTCGATTTCTGAAGTTATACTTCTTTTCGGGCGTTTGGGAAAACTGATGAGAGTGAATTTTTACGATGCGCGCGCACAACGACACCTAAAAACGACACCATAAATTTGTTACTATGCGCGCGCGCACTGACACCTAAAAGCGACAACTTTGGTGGGTAATTGTCTCGCAAGTTTTTTCAGTACTTTTCATCACCTATGGTCCCTAGTGTATACTAGGGTGTTTGACATATTGCACCAAGTTACACAAAACAGCTTATAATATCTTGGAACTTGGTAAGCGAAAGTACGGTGCGGAGGCAAGTAAGACAGGATTATCTCATATATACGAAACTCTTTACCGATGCATCGAAACTCTTTTTCAGGGTACTAGCACAGTGTTGCTACTGCTTAGATTGTGCTTCTGGACCGGGAAGGATGCGTTATCTATTGTCATAGACATAGAGACAATGGAATGAGCATTAGCTTCACACTAGTGACCATTCTCTAGAAAGAGACAAAGCGACTGTGCGGCCAATACCTGTCTCTATGACATGGCTGTCTTACAGTTGCACATGCAGCACAGAACGATACACTCCTGACCATCAGTGACGTGGAACAATCATAATTCTAGAACGAGACAACTAATGACCGCACATTCGCTTTGTCTCTCTCGCACTTTTCGGTATGTATTCACTGTACAGCTGAATACGGAACGCACAGTCATTCCCTTTATGTCTATGTCTATCGTACTCGCAGAGTACATTAATCACCTTCGATTTACAATAGAAAGGCATAATCGCTGGAAGACCTTAGCTGTGTTCAATGACCTCAAACCAATTATAGCACGCATGTTCGCAATTGAAATTATGATATTTTGTAGTTACAATTGCTTTACATCCTTGTAAATTTATTGTAACTACAAAATATCATAATCAAATTGTAAAAAAAAAGGATCCTTCCTTGCCTTATCTTTTTTTTTATAGGATAAGGGTGACAAACGAGCACTCAGTCCACCTGATTGTAAGTGGTTGCTGCGAACCATAGACATCTACATTTATCCTCGATGACTAATCAAAATGCAGAAAATGATTCCGTATCACGATGAATATAGGGATGAATTTAGGGTATCGCAACTAGCTGGTTGCATGACACGATTGACGATTTTCAGGCTATACCCTGGACTATGCAGAAACATGACCCAGTGACCGGTGAAGTTATGGTCAATGAGGACGGTGAGCCCATATACCATGGATATTGTGTCGACCTCATTGACAAATTGTCTCAGGTGAGTGGCTTTTCTATATTATCACGAGTATCTATGTGCCTTTTAAGTAGGACTTCTTTTCCACCTAGAAGCCAATCTGCGTTGGTTTATCTATTCCCACTACCAATTCCACATTCAATCTGGGATAATTTCAAATAAAAGTAGAAGCCTTATTTACTCGTTATTTTCAAAAACTGCAATAACCGTATATCATTATTTATATATTTGAACTTAAATATTTTATTATATACAATATTAAAAAAACTGTAATAAAAAACTAGTAACTTAATTATCATACAGTCCTACTCCACGCAGTATCGTGCCAAGAACGCGTTTCCCCGCTGAATGGCTATACTTAACCTTTGAGTGAGAAAAGAATCAGCCCTCTTATCACCAGCAGCAACGACTTGCTGACGACTTGACTTGTGACTTGCGACGTTGCTGCTGCACTCATTGGAAAATAGCCCTGTGTAATATATCACACCTATGTAAAAATCTCCTTTCTTTTTTTTCATCTTTATTAGTTCGTGAAATTCAAATGTTTGTAACTGGCTAGCGAAATATGAAGATCTCACTGGTGTTTTATACGTGGTAGAATCACGCTGCATCTATGTTATGGTTGTAGTACGAATGGGTTGCCTTGATCGGGGAACGATCACGCTCTCACAGAATATCAATGTAAAATAGCAGCTTAACGCTGCTGTGTTTGTGTGGTGAGTGTAGAGAACCGGAGACCCTTTTTACTGGAAATGAGGTATTTCATCTTAGTTTTCACGGCTGACAACGCATCTGCATTTTAATTCGCAATCGAAGATAGATGTGATGTCTATGGTCCATAGCATCCACTTACCATCAGGTGGACTGTGTTCTCGTTTGTCACCCTATTCGATGAAAATTTGGAGTGTTTTGTAAAGACGTGGTTTTAAATTTTTGTGGTGTGGTTAGATTTGTATTAGTGATGATTAGATGTGTGTTGGCAATTGATCACTGCAATTTCCAATTGTAGTGATCAATTGCCAATCCATACGTAGCAACAATAATCTAACCTATAGACGCGTTTTTTAATATAGAGCCGTCTAGTGTAACATTCATAAAGATTTTTGTAACTTTCCATAGATATAAAATCGTTTAAAATGTAGAAGTCAGCGAGGCCGCTCTAGTCGCCCTAACGTTCAACCGAAAATATTTTATTCGACTATAGTTTTTTTAGATGTGTTTTGAAATTAAGGCGTAGCTTAGATGTATATGGAAATTGAATAACCCGTGTTGAAATTTCAAACACAATAAATTTACAGGCCATGGAATTTGATTACGAGATCGTTTCTCCCAAATCTGGTGGCTTCGGACAGAAACTGGCGAATGGATCTTGGAATGGACTTGTGGGGGACTTGATGAGAGGGGTAAGTTGATGGGAGGGTAGTCAGAAACGTTATTGACTAGATGTATAAACCCAGGCTGAAGTTAAAAATACAAAATATCTGGGACAGTGATCACTAGTCCGCAGATAGAGATAAAGGTATAACGGCAAGTTCTTTCTACTATTGCACAGGAATCTGTATATTGCTATGTTATAATGTCTTTCAGACCAAATATCGGTCACTGAAGCCAATCTGTACGGAGACTAACCATCTGTACAGGACAGGATTATAGTGCATGAATAGAATAGAATAGAATAATTTTTATTCAATATACATTACACGAGTAATTCTTATTGAAAGTCATTTTTTACTTCACCACATGAGTGTGTGCACCTCATAGTCCGATGTGAGGTAAAAATCCGACACGACCGGAGAGAGATCAGGCGCTGGCTTCCTGACTCCGGGCAGCTGCTGATGATTTTTTCACAGTAAAACTTAATTTGATATTGGAGACCAATGAGGAAGTGTGGGGCAACAGCGATGTATGATAACTAGGAGAAGAACGTCAGTAGCCTAATGGCAGGGCGCGGACCGTGAACTCGAACGGTCGTGGGTTCGAATCCGCCATTCGACTACTGTCGTGAACCACTTCAACACAAGAATTTTAAGCTTACCAGAAGTGGTTAAAGAGGGAATATTAGCAATGTTTAATAGCATTACTAGTATATTTTTAATAGATGAAAAAAAAAACTTCTACTTGCTCCCTTCAAGTTGATATAATTTAGGATATGGGCCATTCGTTGTAGGTTCTGAGGGTGATACCGCAATGACTTTAACGTTCGGGGTTGGTTGTTGGTGTCGATAGACCGATGGTATAGTCCATTCTATGGACTAGCCGATGGTAAGACCGGGTACTTTTCACTTGGTACAACCACGGTTAAGTGTATTATGGCAGTGACACGAACTGGTGGGAAAGTACCACGTTGGCACAGCATACCAGCGTAAAATAGCAGCATAAAACGGCTGTGTTTGTTATGGTGAGTGACGAGAAACGGAAACCCCTTTTGTTATCCGACTGCGGAGGGTATATGTTTATCAGGCTATATATGTATGTATGTATGTATTTTTGTATGTTTTATCCTTTGTGGCACTCTAGAGATCAAACGCGGTAAACGATTTTGATCATTCTTACGTCAATCGATTTTTCTTAATCTTATGAGTGTCACTCGATATGACAGTGATCAAAATTCAATATGACAACAATCAGACGCCATATTGCTTAAAAAACCGGCCAAGTGCGCGCTCGAACTCGCGCACCGAGGGTTCCGAACAAATCCGTAGGTATATAAGTTTAAAATTATTAAAAATATTTTTATTATATGATGTAACTAAAAATTTATGCTTTTCGCAATTTTTCCTTTATCTGTGCTATAAAACGTTGCTTCGTACCAAATTTCAAGATTCTGAGTTCACGAGAAGTACCCTGTAGGTCTTGATTCCTGTATAAAATTAATAATTTTTAATCTGGAGGTAGCCGTGGTTAACTATGACATTGGGACGTCAAACACCTCAATCTCCCCCGTGACCATGGGTGCTGTAAAGTGCTCTAAACGTCCGGAATATAAAATAAGTTAATATACGCGATAAAATCAGTAAAATTAGTTTTAGTTAAATAAGATGGAATAATTTACAACCGGTAATTATACTGGCTTTCTATACCGTTCGCACCGGGACACAGTAGCGCAAGTACCTAACGTTTGGCGGGAAAAATAGGTAAGGAGGTGGAAACAAAGACGAAAGAGATAGAAAAGTTAGCCCCACCACCTAGTTTTATTGGTAACCACTCCTTTTTACTGGACATTTTTATCGTAATATCACCACTTACCATTAAGAGAAATACGTGCTTGTTCGATGCCCTTGCTTCAAAAAGTCAGGACCAACGAGTGCATCCACGACTTTTCTGCGACCAGAGCGGCGCCACTTAAAAGTGAGGTACAATATTTGACAGGTTTCATAGCGGGGAAGTTAATTTGTTCGGAAAATGTAAAGGTTAATGTTTCTCTTTCTGTACTTTTAGTTATATCTTATATTAATAAGATTAAAAATAAATAAACCAAACCACAGATATTCATAAAAGTAGAAAAGTTTTAAGAAAGTTAAAAATGTGCAAAAAGTTGAAGAGCAAACCACTGAGGCATTGTTTTGTGTATTAATATAATACTTAGAAACTGATAAACTTTTATCAATTAAATGACATTGTGTAACAAAAAACTTTATCTCAGTGTCAGCTAGCGACATCTGTTGAGCAGAAACTTATTAGTCCTCATTACTTCAAACTGGGCTTCGAGTTCTTTTTTTTATAGGATCGGGTGACAAACGAGCACACAGTCCACCTGATGGTAAGTGGTTACTCTGACCCATAGACATCTACATCTATCCTCAATAAAGACTCAAGATGCAGATGCGTTGTCATCCGTGAGGACTAAGATGGAATGCCTCTTTGCCAGTAAAAAGGGTCTCCGGTTCTCTACACTCACCATACGAAACACAGCAGCATTAAGTTACTATTTTACGCTGGTTTTCTGTGAGAGCGTGGTCCTTCCCCGGTCGAGCCGACCCATTCGTGCTACAACCATAATATAGCTGCAGCATGGCTCTACCACGTAAAAGTTCGTTTATAATTGTAGCATTATACAAGACTGCATAATATTATCGGTGCCAAACCCCTTGCCATGTGTGACGTGTCTTGCCTGTACCCAGCAGTGGACAGTTATCGCTGATAAGTGAGATTTGATTTCTAGGAGACCGATATAGCTGTCGCCGCCCTCACGATGACAGCTGAAAGGGAAGAAGTGATAGACTTTGTTGCACCCTACTTCGAACAGACTGGCATTTTGATTGGTAAGTAATGTTTTATAATTCTGTTTCTGTTCGAAGTTTAATTTATCTTTTGCAGCTTTATCTAAGGTGAACATAATAAAATAGAATCAAGTTTCATTTTGCGAAAACTATGATATTAAACGTGTGAAAATTAATTAGTTAATATTCGCGCGAAAAGCCAAACCTCCACGTTGGCTAACCGCTAAGAGATTTTGTGTAGAGTCTACTATTATAATAGTGCCTCGTTCAGAGGCGAAATCCGTGTCGTACTATCCACGTGATGTATTATTCTAAGGGCAGTGGTGTTAGCTTTATTGGCGGCAGTGGTGTTAGCTTTATTGGCGGCAGTGGTAGTGCACGTACTTGTAGGAGGGTAGGATATGCCCTTTTACTCGTAATTAAATGTGATGCACTATCTACTTAAGTAATTAATTTTCACATATTTAAATTTTAACGCGCTTTGATATTAAAGATGTGAAATTTAATTAATTAATATTCGCACGAAAGGCAAAACCTAATCTTTGGCTAACCACTAAGAGATTTAGTGTAGAGTCTATTATTATGATAGTGCCTCGTTCAGAGGCGAAATCCGTGTCTGTATAGGTACGTGCTGTATTATTCCTAGTGCAGTGGTGTTAGCATTAGTGGTGGCAGTGTTAGTGCACGTACTTGTAAATGGGAAGGAGATGGCCTATTAACTAGAAGAGATACACCATCTATCTAATTAGGTAATTAATTTGCACATATTTAATTTTTAACGTGCGTTTTTTTTAATATAAAATACCTACGTGCTTCAGTTCGGAGGTCATTGCCACGTTTAGGTATAAAAGGTGATACTGTAAGAGGACTGTACATTTTTACAGAATGAGGGTGTGAAGCTAGTCATCTGTCACGCAGTCCACCTGATGGTGAGTGGTTGCTGTAGCCCATGGACATCTACATCTGTCCTTGATTAAGAATCAAAATGCAGATGCGTTGTCACTAAGATTGAATGCCTCAAAGCATGTAGTTATACTGGCTCTATTCCGACCAAAGGACAGCAGTGCATACACCGCTGACTGGTGGTATAAATAGGTAAGAATGGTACCAGCCCAGATTGTTTCCTAGTCACAAATGTAAGCCAACCTCCTAGTAGTTTCCTTCGTACGTCTGGTCTGAGACACTCTAAAAATCTTCTCAATCAGTCAAAACCATGCCTATAGGAGTTCTACCAAAAATAATGAAGAAAATGTCGATATATCCATTAAATTTATGCCAGTTGTAAAAACTAGGACCGGCAACGGGCGGCAGCGTCAAAACTGTGAGAGGGTGAGGATGACAAAAGGGGAACACAGTGCACCTGATGGTAAGTGGTTGCTGTGGCCCATAGATATCTACATCTATCTTCGATTACGAATCAAAATGCAGATGCGTTGTCACCCGTGAGGACTAAGATGATGACATAAGAATGCCTCTTTTCCAGTAAAAAGGGTCTCCGGTTCTCTAAACTCACCATACGAAACACATAGAGGATAGCTCTATTAAGAATTAAAATGCAGATGCGTTGTCACCCTTTAGGACTAAAATGAAATGCCTCGTTAGCAGTAAAAAGGGTCATCATCATAAATGGTCATACACTCACCATACGAAACACAGCAGCACTGAGCTGTTAATTTACGCTGGTGTTCTGTGAGAGCGTAGTCCTCTCCGGTCGAGCCGACCCATTCGTGCTACAACTATACAATTAATATAGCGGCAGCGTGGCTCTACTACGTATAGATAGATATAGTGACATGAAAACATATTAATTGGTTCCAATTCCTCTAGTGATACGGAAGCCCATTCGCAAGACGTCACTGTTTAAGTTCATGACCGTGCTCCGCACTGAGGTGTGGCTGAGTATAGTCGCTGCTCTGGTGCTGACCGGGGTCATGATATGGCTGCTGGAGAAATATTCACCGTATTCCGCTCGGAACAACCCGGATGCTTATCCTTACCCATGCCGGTATGTATCAAGATGCCCTGGCTTCACCAAATTTGAGTTGAGGATTTATGGACCATTAATTGGAGCATCGGATCGCCTGAGTATAGGATCTAATAATGTAACGTTATTTAGATAATTTTTTTATAGAATAAGAGGGATAAACAAGCACACAGTCCACCTGATGGTAAGTGGACGCTGTGGCCAATAGACATCTACATCAACCCTCAATAAAGAATCAAAGTACAGATGCGTTGCCACCCCTGAGAACTAAGCCCCTGAGAACTAAGATGGAATGCCTCGTTTCCAGTAAAAATGATCTCCGGTTCTCTACTCTCACCGTACGAAATACAGCACAGCAGCATTGAGTTGCTGTTTCACGCTGGTTTTCTGTGAGGGCGTGGTTTAGGCTCTTGAAATTCTCAGTTTCTTATTTCTTTTTCTTTTTTACAAAACGTTAACCTTAACCTCCATACTAGGATTGTCTCCTGTATCGTGGAGACAGTTTACATACATAAATTTCACAAAGACATACTCCATATACTCCAAATACTTGTTCCGTGCGGTATTCGAAGCCGCGGCCCCCACCACTGCAATTCGTTGCTAAGCCACTGCATCACGAAGCTGTGAAAGTTAGTCTTAGTTAGTCAAGTATATATAATAATAAATAAATTTATTTATTGTATAAAACCATATTGACACAACAAAGTTGAAGCCCTGACTAAAACAACTATAGCAAATAAAACCAACGTGATACATCCAGGGAATTCACTCTGAAAGAGAGCTTCTGGTTTGCCCTGACTTCGTTCACTCCGCAAGGCGGAGGGGAGGCACCCAAGGCTCTGTCAGGGAGGACGCTGGTGGCCGCCTACTGGCTGTTCGTGGTGCTCATGCTGGCAACCTTCACAGCCAACCTGGCCGCGTTTCTCACAGTTGAAAGGATGCAGGTAGGTTTACAAATTTGTATTTTTATTTTAAATTTTAGGGCAGCATAACGTCTACCGGGCCCGCTGGTGCTTATATTATTTATAATGTATATGGTGAAGTATATCGACCAACCTTAATAAAAAAGCATAGATTCAGATTCAGGACTGAATGACAGAGTGAGAAATTGTGTGATAAGAGAAAAGTGTGGTTTGCAAGATGATGTTGTGACCAGGAAAGAGTAACAAAGCTAAACTATATTACAGATGTGAACGGCAGAGTCGGGAAGGGATGCCCTGGACGTAGGTTTATCGATTAAATTGGTGAAATATTGAAAATGGGCCAAATTAGGAGTACCCTTAAGAGGTGAGCGTGTATGCGTAGATATATGGATGTAAAGGAGGCGATAGAGGTGAGTCAGGATGGTGCTAAATGGAAGCCCGTAGTCTCTGGCTACCCCTCTGCGAGACAGGCGTGAGTGTTTATGAATAAAGCATAAGTTTATGCATAGTATAATAGGGTTCTTCCATTCATTTAATTCAGACCCCAGTCTCATCCCTGGAGCAGTTGGCGCGGCAGTCCCGCATCAACTACACCGTGGTGGAAGGCTCCACCTCTCACCAGTACTTTATTAACATGAAATTCGCTGAGGACACCCTCTACAGGTAAAGAAATCAAGGCTGTTCAGATCTTAGTTTCTCTTTTATAAAATAGTTTTTTTTTTAATTTGTATTCAATATAGAATACATACTTATTGAAAGTTATTTAAGTTTTAGCACTAGTTCGAATAAAACCTCTGTCCTGGGAAGAACTAGCAAGTAACCTTTGACTTTAAAAAAAAAGATCATTTTTATGCAATAATTAGTATGAAAACATTTATAAACAGCATGGTAGCGATCACCTCATTTTCATACCCCATTTACACTCTCGCGCGAGCGACGAGGCGAGTAGCGAGGCGAGCCACGAGGCGCAAATGTAAACGCTAGCTCGTGGCTCGCCTCGCAGCTCGCCTCGCCACTCGCGGCCCTCGCGTCGGGTGCGGTTTTTTGGGCACGAGGCAAATGGCATCGCGAGGGACGCGAGCGTGGTGTTTACACTCGCGTCTCGTTTCAGTTTGTTTACGGCGCCCTTCCATAATAACATTCGAATTGCTTTTGTTTTAAAATTACAATTTTAATAAAATAATATTATTTAATCTTGCACAATAGTTACTAGCAATTTATATAATATTATGAAACTGAAAAGGTTCTGTTTCGATGAATAGATATCATCCGTCACATTCTTCCTCAACGACGTATTTTTATTAATTTCCTTCTTTTTAAAATGGTCAAACATCGATAAATACTTAGTAAGGCAAGAGTTGATGCCGCTATTATTTCGACGTCATTTATTGTTGCTGGCTCAACGCAAACTGACCGCATAGCGAGAGTGTAAACAGGCACTCGTTACCTCGCAACAACACGCGAGCTGCGAGGCGAGAGTCTAAACGAGGTATCAGAGGTTATTATTAATCATGTATTTTAGTAGTATATTATACTAAAATATATCAAATATTAATACGTGTGTAGCCGGTGGTAGGAAAAGGGGAGATCTCCCGCCGGGCAAGTAGTTCTGCCCGGGGAGCGGCCTAAACGTAGTGATTACATTCTCTTTGGCCAACGCTCCGAGTGGTAGTTCGGAGTTATTCTATATATTATTTTGCTTTAATTTCGGAACTTTGTTAGCGCGATTTAGGCTTCGATGTGTTTCGCTTGTGGCGCGACGACAGCGCTGCCACACGTGGTAGAGCCATGCTGCATCTATATTATTAATATAGTTGTAGCACGAAGGACCATGTACTCACAGAATACCAGCGTTAAATAGCAGCTTAATGCTGCTGTGTTTCGTATGGTGAGTGCTCAATACTCACCGTACGTAATACTGCAGCAACCGGAGACGCTTTTTAATGGAAACGAGGCATTCCATCTCAGTCCTCTGGGGTGACAACGCAATTGCATTTTGATTCCTAATTGAGAATAAATGTAGATGTCTATGGGCTTCAGCATCCACTTACCATGAGGTGGACTGTGTCCTTGTTTGTCACCCTTATTCTATAAAAAAAAAAGATTAGGTATAGGTCTAGGGTTACCAGATGAAAAAATTAAAAGTCCGGAGAAGAGGCCTGATTTCCATTTAAAAATCCTGAGATTTTTTTACAGTTTGAGAAGAAAACCTTACTTAAAAACGTATCTTCACATATTAAGTATGATAAAACTGTTTAAGTACCTATTTGGATAAATAAGTTTTGATTTTAATTGTGGAATTATTACCAAAGGAAAATTATTTTTAGTTTGTTTAACTTTTTAGTAAAGAGATCTTTAAAATGTAAGCTGTATTATATTGAAAGTTCTAAAAATCCTGAGATTTCATGAGATTTGCAAAATCCAGCCGCAATCCTGACAAGAGTCTAAAAATCCTGAAATCTCAGGACAAATCCTGAGATATGGTAACCCTAGGTCCATTGGCCACAACTTCCACAAACTTCAGGAGGACTGTGTGCTCATTAGTCAACTATACTTATTTAAAAAAATATATTTTATTCGTCCGTAGGGTCTGGAAAGAAATCACCCTGAACGCGACATCGGACCAGGCGCAGTATCGGGTCTGGGACTACCCAATACGGGAGCAATACGGTCATATACTCCTTGCCATTAATGCATCTGGTGAGAATGACTCTCCTTTTCCTTTATCATGGACAAAGACAAACAAGTATTTTATGTATGTATGTATGTATGTACATATGTCCACCTTGTTTGTCATTTATCAACGTACTGTGGAGATATGTTTGCAAAGCAGGTCTGACAGGTCGCGCCAATATGTGTTCAAAGTCTTTCAAATAAGTGTTCAAATGTTGTTGCTACATCTGGCACCGGCTTTAGATACGTTGGATTTAATTTTTTTTTGCGCGGAACCCTTATTCTTTTTCTAAAATGAAATATATCCTTAGTTACTCCTTATAACATTAGGCTATCTGCCAGTGAGTCCCGTCAATCGGTCCAGCCGTTTCGGAGATTAGCTGGAACAAACAGACAGACAGACAAACATTTTAAAAATTTTTTTTGGTACGAAGTTCCTTATCGGACGGCACGAATTTGTAGGATGGGGGCTAGGCGAGAAAAATTGGAAAAATATTTTTCCGGTCACGACCCTTCTGTCGGTCGACCCTTTGTGTAGACGGCCTTGGCGGCTAATAAGAAAGCGAGATGGAATAACATCCATCTCTCTCTCGCACTTTTTTTATCTTGCCATAGAAGAAATATTATTTTATTTTAAATGACGTTTCATTTTAATAGACGCCAGTATTAATTAATTTATTTGTATTTGTTTATCAATAATAATATACTATGAAAGGAACTTCGTTCCAACCGAGTGTTCTTGCGCATTGTTTTTTTTTTGTTGTATGTACCGTATATACTTTTGTATGTATTTAATATGTATTTAATAAAAAAAACTGTTACTTGAGATAACAAACAGACACTTCAATTTTATTTATTTTTCTTTAATTATTTCTTATATTTACGCGAATATTAAATATTGAATGAAAATTATTTTACGCATTTTATAGGGTTTAATTTTAACTTTTTAATTCCCGACGCTTCGGGTGCATTACAGCACCCATCTCTGTCATGGTCACTGGGGAACTGAGGTGTTTGAAGTCTCGATGTCACAGTTATCCCGGCTGCCTTTAGTTTTTTTTTATAGAATAGGGGGCAAACGAGCATGCGGCTCACCTGATGGTAAGTGACTACCGCCGCCCATGAACAACCGCAACACCAGCAGTGCAGTCCTTAAGCATGTGCTTAATTTTAGACTAAAATAGAGGGGTGTTATATGTTTGTAGTGTGTATCTGTGTATATGTGTATCTGTGTGTGGCATCACAGCTCCAGGAACCGATGGACCGATTTTGATTAAGTTCTTTTTTGTTTGAAAGGTGTATTAATCGAGAGTGTTCTTAGTTATATTTCAGAAAATCTGTTCAGCAGTTTGAAGTTCATCAGCTCTTTTTGTTTCGGGGGTTTTGAATTTTTTTTTAATTTAAGTTATTGAATATCAATTTTTGGTCCGATCTACGCATAAAATTAAACGCGATAAAATCCTTAAAATTATTTTCATTCAAATTATTTTATAAAGACACTTTCCGTCTCTTCAGGACCGGTACCAGATGCGAAGACCGGCTTCCAGGAAGTCAATGACCATACCGATGCTGACTTTGCTTTTATCCACGACTCCGCTGAGATCAAGTTAGTTTTCTTTTTTATTCTATAATAGTCATCTTTCTTCATTTATTCTCTACCTTTATTTAAAAGACCAATGCACAATGCTAAATATAGGCCTCCCGCATAGATTGTCTTATAGGAGAGATTTTGTCATAGTCGCCACTCTTGGCAGGCGGTTGGCAACCCCAGTTTTTTTTTAAATTTTGAGTTGTTATTAAAAAGCCCGTCTCATAATTTGTTTCCCTCTATCACCACTTACAACCACGGGATATTATGGGGTAGTGAATATTCTTACACCGCCACTAAACGGTAATAAATGGTCACTGATTATTATTTTTAAAAATCTAATAAATATGAGGATGGATGATGCGATTTACAGATTATTTAAAAAAAAGTAATAAAAAAAAGAGATTAGTGCCGAAGATGAGTCTGAAGATCCAAGGTGTGCTCTCAGCGCCTGGAACGAGCACGCACGGCGTAGGTGAGAAGGCGTGGGCGTCTCTAGGCGACGACCTCCGGTGAATGTGGTAATTGCAGGATCCGGCGATTTCAGGCCAGACAGGGGCTTGCAGGATCCTCAGCGGCTTCAGACAACACAGAAGCCTGCAGGAACCGGTGACTGCAGGCGGGACAGAGGTTTGCAGGTTCCGGTGACTTCAGGCGGAACAGAGGTTTGCAGGTTTCGGCGACTCCAGGTAGAGCAGTGACTTGTAGGATCCCGGCGACTTCAGGCAGAGCAACGGTTTGTAGAGTCCAGCGACTTCAGGTAGAGCAGAGGTTCGTAGAGTCCAGTGGCTTCAGGCAGGACAGAGGCTTGCAGGATCCCGGGGCAGTGCGGCCCCGGGATAAGGCCTTTAGGAGATGCTTCCAATTCGAGAACTGAAGCGAGACTGCCTTTCTTCACCGATTGTTCGGCTTTTATACCTTTCTAGAGAGAACGGAAAAATTATTTAAATTAAACGCAAATTTTTTGTAAATGGTCAAGAGAAAAGAGTATTTATGTGGAATTATCGAAATAGAAACAACAGACCGGTAGCAAATTTGAATATAATTGCTATGGAGACCAAATAAACAACAATGTCAAAACATGTCAAATTTTGGTTTTAGGCTTGTAATAAGAAAACGGCAAGATTTAAGTGGAAAATGAGATATTATTGATATAGGAAAAAAGGTAGCGCAACTGCCCACACAAAGCCCGAGATTGTAGAGTTACGGAAAACTAACTAAAAGATCGAAAAAAGGTAGACTCCATTGACACCAATTTAAAAGTGCTGATAATGTGAAAATACGAAGTAGAAATGGTTTGTTATTGTGTTCTTATGGTTTAAAATCGTTACAGGATCCTATGGAAATAAAGGTGATGTAAAATATCCAGTTTTGAAGTGAATGCAGAAAATCGAAACAGAATGGAAAAATGAATTTAAAATAATGTAAAATGATAAGTAAGTAGCATAACACTACCTGATATAAATGATAAGTAGATCATCAGAAGTAGGTAGAAGGGGCTTCCTGCAGCACCGAAGCCGTTTGCAGAAGTAACTTTGGCTGTGCTTTGGGTCAATATTCCTGTGTAAAAAAACGTTTATTTTTGAATATCGATATCTCGGAAACTAAGCGAGATATCGAAAAAATTTTATTCATACTTTTCGGTGTATCTCGTCGAGATCTATCTGAATGGGTGACTCCGTAGGAACCGTAAAAGCCCTGTCTAAGAGCCACAGCATCCACATACCATCAGGTAGATTGTGTGCTAATTTGTGTGTCTGTATACTGTTGTAGACACTTATTATCAGCTAGCCGGTTAGCTGGTTGGTATCTGATATCCAAAAAAATTAAAAATACATATATTTTTTTATATGAAAAAGGGTGACAAGCGAGCACATAGTACACTTGATGGTAAGTGGATGCTGTGGTCCATAGACATCTACATCTTTCCTCGAATAAGAATCGAAATGCTAATGCGTTATCACCCCTGAGAACTAAGATGGAATACCTCGTATCCAGTAAAGTGTATCAGGTTACTACACTCACCATACGTAACATAGCAGCAGCGAGCTACTATTTTTGTAGGTATTCTGTGAGAGCGTGTTCCTTCCCCGATTAAGCCGACCCATTCGTATTCCAACCATAATATAGCTGCAACATGCCTCTAATACGTATAAATATTGGAACCCTCCGAACCAGATACGAGGTGACACGGAACTGCAACCTGACAGAAGTCGGTGACGTATTCGCCGAGCAGCCTTACGCGATTGCTGTACAACAGGGCTCTCGACTACAGGAGGACCTTTCCAGGGCATTGCTGGAATTGCAGAAGGAACGCTTCCTAGAGCAGCTGGCTGCGAAGTGAGTCTTTTTAGATATATCAATTAAGGTTATTATCATAGTATACCATCCATACCATCTGGATGATTGGCGGTCCACCACTGTGCGATTTAGAAGATGTTTTCTTCCTCACACAACTTCCTTGTGGAATCGATTAGCACCAGCGATTTTTCCGGACTGATACGACTTAGGGGCCTTCAAGAAAAGAGCCTACTCCTTTTTAAAAGGCCGGCAACGCATCTGCAATTCTCCTGGTGTTGCGGTTGTTCATGGGCAGCGGTAGTCACTTACCATCAGGTGAGCCGCATGGTCGTTTGCCCCGTCTCCTATTAAAAAAATTGTAGAATACCTCTACGTACATAAATAAAGATAAGCATCTAGGCTCGAAAGAACCACGTTTTGGATGGGGGAATCGAATAGAGAGTTACGTATCTGCATTGCAGATTACTGCAATCACATGCTTAGTTACTGTACTTTTGTGTCTTCAGACAGAAGTTGGTATTCTGTTTATAAGCCAATCAGTATGAACTCAATACTAGTCCGTACACTTTTTAAGTAAATCGTCTAACTAGGCAGTACTGACCAGAAGTAGATATTTTTGACGCCTGTGTACCATTGAGTTATATGTACTACGTACTAGAGAAGCCATTCCGAACATTGATTATGTTCAACTGAACTGTAGTGCAATCCATACAAACTAAATATTGCGTAAATTGAAGATTTGTGAATTCCATAAAATAATTATTATTATATTTTATTTAGAAATATGTTTTTTTAGATCAAATTAAGATATTTTATATTAAATTCTTATATTTATTTTATTTTAATATCTTATTTTATATCAAATTAATCTTCACGCATGCGCGACTACTACTCCCGCGCATGCGCGAAGACATAGAGTAGGACACAATTTTTGTTTGGAATGCCTTCTCTAGTACGTAGTACATATAACTCAATGCCTGTGTACCTTTTCCCATACAAAACTCGTTGTAGTTATTCCATTTCACGATGAAGTTTTGACTTTGGTTGTGTTAACCGTGCACATACACATTGTTTTAGTGTGCGTATGCTTCGGGAGCGCTATCACATTAGTAGATCTACTCGTGTGACGCAACTCCCAAGCGCCCGCAGCAAATTTTTTTACATTAATTATCCATTTTATTTATAATAATAATAATAATAACCTTTATTAATTTTCCCTAGCGATGCAAAGTTTTTAAAAATATCGATATATTGATATCGATATATATTGAATGAAGTTGATATTTATATATCGATATATCGGTCAAGTACGCCGAAGCCGATATATCGATATTTCATCGATATTTTCCTTTTTTTTAAGGTTAATAAAACGAAAATTTGGAAATAAAAAATGTATTATTTTAATATATAATTTAAAAAAAAAATAATTCCAGTATTTTGTACCAGCTATTGAACTTAAAAATAATAACTTAGAAAGTCTGCTTCCATGTAGCCGGTTTCGGCTCTGGGTTATAGTAGCTCCTGCCTTCGAAAAAAGACGTTCTGATGGAACACTTGTTGCTACAATCGGTAGATGACACATTGCCACTTTAAAAAGATTCGGATATACACCCTGCATCTCTTGCCATGTTTCAAGAACATTTACTTTTAAAGTATTTACAGGGGCAGAGAGATATAACGTGAGTTCATCGTCACCGTCAGTTTTTTTTCTTTTTATCTGCGTGTGAGCCAAAGATTTGTGGTACTTCCAAAAATCAAAATCAACTTTTTCTTCATCTTCTGAAGAAGTTGACGAAGCCGTTACGGCAGATTTATATTCAGAAATGAATTTTCTAATTCGAGACATTGCTTTTGCACAAGCTTCCGGTTTTTTAAAATGCAAGTTCTTGAAACGCGGGTCTAGCAATGTAGAAACGGCTAACAACATGTTGTATTCAAGATGGCCGAAACGCTTTTCTATCTCCAGCGTTATATTTCTCTTCAATTCGTCAGCAATAGTCGAAGTCACCCCCAATTCCTTGTATTGGTCAATTGCACAACTCACCATGGGTACAATTTTAGAAATGGTGACGTAACGTTCGGCAGAAGCCTCTCTTGTCATAGCTTCCAGTGGACGCATAACATAAGCAACATCTTTTATAGTGTTGAGCTGAACTGCTGTCAACATTGTAGGTGCATCTATTTTACAACAAATTATGTCACTTATATATGGCGCCAAATCCAAAAATCGTTCAAGCATATAGTACATGGAATTCCATCTCGTTTTTACATCAAGTATCACTTTAAGAGCTTTTTCATCGGGTATTTTACTTTCTATTTGCTTTCTTTTTAATTCCAATGTCTTGTCTCTTTTTTACGTATTTTACTATATTCCTAACATGCTCTATTATATCACTCAGTCCGGAAGTTTTTCTTATGGCCTCTTCAGCAACTCTATTTATCATGTGAGCAAAACATGGGATGTGTTTGTGTGCCCCAAACGTCTCTCTTATTGCTTTAACCATATTTGCACCAGAATCTGTAACGAAAGCCATAACTTTTCAGTATCTATATTCCAACTTCTTAATATTCCTGTCAATTGTTGTCCAATGTACTCGCCAGTATGACTTTCTTCAAATTCTAAAACTCCAATAGTCACAGATTGTAATTCATTCTGTAGCAAAAAATGAACAGTAAGTCCCAGATAACCAGTGTTAGTCAATGTCTCTGTCCAAATGTCTGTAGTCAAACTAAAGTAATCCACATTTTTCAATTTATCCGCCACAAATTTTGATAATGTGTCATACTTTTTATCAATCTTTGCTTTAATTGTTTCCCGACAAGGCACTTTATACAAAGGGGCTAGTTCCTTAATCAAATGTCGAAAACCTTTTCCTTCAACCGCATAAAACGGCCTGTTATCAACTGCAATAAAATACGCAATAGCATCTGTTATCCGGTCGTATTTTGCACCACCTTTAGAATATTGATACACATTTTCAAAAGCCTGTTTTATTTTTGGAGTGTTTGCAGATGTATTAGGAGTAGCGGGCTTAGTTGTAGGGAACACAACCACAGCAGACGAACAAGAAGCTTCAACAGTATCAACTGACGTTTCAGGGGGTTTAGCACTTTCGTCCGATGTTTGAAGATTAACGCTGACTCCAGTACTTCTAGACAAACTAGAAGAAGTACCACCACATTCAGTCAACTTACTGAAAAAGAAAAAAAAACAACGATACTTATTTTTATTTTGCTAGACTAAATATATAATTGTTTTTGTCTTATACAACCATTTGCATGCTTAGGTATATTTTGTCAAAAAAAAGAATATATGCGTTTATATATTCGCGTTATGTATCCGCTTATACCGATATTGATATATTCAATCGTCGATAGTCCACATAATACTAAAGATAAAACGAATGATAACTTAAAAATTTGTTTTAAATATTTCCATCAAATGTAACCTAAATTATATTAAATTGTATATTCATAGTATTTTGTGTTTATTAACTGAGAAACTAGCGACATACCGTTGTGATTTATCGAAGGATTTATCGTCCACATCACAATCTTCTGGATGTTTGTGTTTCATATGTGATGCTAGATTGCTTGTATTTCCAGAAGTTTTAACTCGTTTGTTACAAATAGTGCAAATAACATTACCGTCTCCTTCTTTTTTGAAATAAGACCACAATTTACTTCTTTTCATATTTAAATTAGCAGTAAATAAATGCAAAAATAACAATCAATGACAGCTCAGCTCAGCCTACTCAACATTGTACATACAACTTTATAATTTGTGCTACTCAAGTCTACCACAGCCACAGACTTACACACTTACCATAGATTTGAGAACAGAATCACTTTGTAACACAGTCAGTGTTGCCATGTCAGTAATAGCATTTTACCCGGTTTTGTGAATATTTTAATTTGTGCTGGTTTTCAATATTTTTTGTTTCGATATGTCTAGTTCGATATATCGCGTTTTTTACGATATTGAATTATCGATATCGCTATATCATCGATATCGATAACTATCGATATTTTTAGGTGTCGATATATCGATATTTATCGGTTTTCCGATATATCGTTGCATCCCTAATTTTCCCACATTTTATTATCCACACAAATTAATGATCGTAGGGTCAGATTTTAGGAGTTTATTTACTTTTTTTTAGGTAATTAATAATATTTATATTATACAAAAATATAATAAAAAATATTATATTTTTGTTTATTAATTAATACCGCAAACTGATAAAACAACTAAATAAACTTTTAAAAAAAGAATGTAGATTTTATGTTTACCTATAGCAACATAAAATTTTCGAAATTTGATTTTTTTTTAAATAAATTTTTGATTAACTGAGAGTAATAGACGTGCAGCAATTGCGGATTCTAAAAGAGTATTTAAGGAGCAATTAATTGGTATACAGTTTAATAAAAATAAAAGAAAATATTCTACGCTAACTTCCTTCCGGTAGTCAGTTGTACTTGTACACAATTTTTAATTTTTAATTATTTTATGTTTTGTTTAAACGTGATATTATCACAATAAACTATTTCCTTCAATCCAGATACTTTCCTTCTTCCTAGAGTGGTCTATTTGCAGGATGGTTCTGCCACATTGAACTCTGTCACTGTTTTTCCAGATACTGGAATGAGACCGCTCGTCAAGCCTGTCCTGATGTAGACGAGTCTGAAGGCATTACACTAGAAAGTTTGGGTATGTAGATTTAAGTTAAGGGGATATAAGTTAAATGGCGCCCAATGCCTAGCTGTTTTATAAGAAATAGGTTGGCAGACAAGCACACACCGCCTGATGGTAAGTGGATGCTATGAACCATATACGTCTATATCTATTCTCGATTAAGAATCAAAATGCAGATGAGTTGTGACCCCTAAGGACAAAACTGGGATGTCTCGTCTCCAGTAAAAAGGATCTCCGGTACTCTACACGCACCATACAAAACACAGCAAGCAGTATTGAACAATTATTTCACGCGTTTTCTGCGAGAGCGTGGTCCTTCCCCAGTCGAGCCGACCCACTCGTATTACAACCATAATATAGCTGCAGCATGGCTTTACAGCGTAACTTAATATGGCGCCCTTATTGTTTTGTAACAGTATTAATTTTAAAAAATCGTGGTTTTGATGTGTCGTACACGGCCATGTGTTTTAAGTGAACGCGGTTACGTACGTGCATGTGACGAAGTTTATGGCGGGCCCACACAAGATGGAGTGATGACTTGTTAAGACATGTAGGAAGTCGATGGATGCAGGTGGCTAGGGCCGTGCTTTGTGGTGTTCCTTGGGGGAGGCCTATGTTCAGCACTGGACTTGTGAAGAGCTATAATGATGATGATAGATTAAGGCCGTAAACTACCTCAAAATGGCGGCGCTCCCCCGCTCTCATCCCGATACGAGGTACAAATTCCAATATTGAGTCAATCTATGTGGAGGCCAATGTTTAGTAGTGGATTTTTGATAGACTGTAATAAATAGATAAACAATCTTAATAATTAAGGTCTATTCACCAATTTCAGGTGGAGTCTTTATTGCTACTCTATTCGGTCTCGGTTTAGCGATGGCCACGTTGGCATGGGAGGTATTTTACTATAAGCGGAAAGAAAAAAATAAAATAAAGACCATAGACGCGACCATAGAAACCGATCCGTTCGCGCCAAAATTCCGAAAGAAGATGAAAGACGGTGTTGCCAGATTGCGAAAGCGGGATAAAGGAAGCATCGGGAGAAATGTTACGATTGGTGACAAATTCAAGCCTGTAGCGGAAAGAGGTGGCGTGTCGTATATCAATGTTTATCCTAAGGATGCATACAAGCCATAATTTCGGAGTACGAAAAAAATTCCTACTACACTAGTAGAGTATAATGTTAAACTTGTTCCATGTTTAACAACGATAGTGTGAAGTTTTTGTTGTAACTTAGTTTTCGCTTAGTAAAATCGTTTTCTGCACTATGCATATGTAGACTGATTAGATTGATTTAGATTGAGATAATAAACAAACTGTTGTTCAATTCAATGATTGTGTGATTTTTTAACCCATTCTAATTAGTAACGACCAAAGAAACGCAGACTTTTACGAGTATGTATACTACTTGACGGGTCCTATGGTACTAATAAAAAGTACTCTGTGGTACTAATGCATTGCGCACAAAGTTACGGTCAATTCTCCGTAACTTCTTTAATCGATTGCGAGCGGGCGAGAGGACTAGTTCTTTGTTTTGTAAACCTTAAATGTTATTTTTGACAATCTAACACTGATTTAGATTAAAGTGACTAAAAAAATGCTGTCATTATTCACGCGCGCCCTTTGTTAACGTTTGAAGTTATGAAGTTTATTTCAGATAAGTATTTAAATTTGTTTCGTATTTGCCTAAAAACAGTAACTGACTTTTTATTTACGAATAAAAATAAAAATGCGCGATCCACAGCTGCAACACAGTTTGTTCTGAATTAGCAGTCTAGTAATATTTATTGAAGTACTAAGTAAAAACGGTTTTAATCGATATCTAGTACGGTTATCAACGGTATTTTTTGTAAAAAAGATAAAATTATGGCCTTTATAGCGACCTACAACCAGTGGAGTAGCGTGCCTTAGAGGGGCCCTGTATCAAAATTTGTCGGGGGGCCCAAATGAAGGGTAAAGATTTTCACAAGAGGAACAAAAACTCTCGCATTGAATTAAAATAATTATATATTGATTATAAGTTATTACTTACAATTAATACTTCTAGGAACTAAGCTAGCCAAACAATTCAAACCAACATCCTGTCCCATAGAAGTCCTTAGAATTTTTGCTTACATACGTTCGGGGCCCCTGTAGCCCGGGGGCCCCGTATCATTGATACGGCTGATACGGCGCATATAAAAAGATACTCTGTGATACATCGGTAGCTACGCCCCTGCCTACAACACTAATATAGTATATGCCAACTAACTTGGCAAGGTTTTGGCGTAGTGGGGGAAAATTTGCGCATGTACAACGGGGCGTACCAATCGCGCGCTCGGATGTCCACTGACCAACCAATCGCGCGCTCTGAAGTCGACTGGCCAACCAATCGGGCGCTCGGAACGAACCTACTTCGTTCCCATGCCCCGCTTGATAACCAAAGAGATCTAAAAAACGACTTCTGCGCATATAACGATTCTGGCTAAGTTACATGCCGGCTACGAGCACTTAACCATATAAATGCTCGTAGCATGCCGGCAACTATAGCAAAGTAAATATTATGGCTGGAGAAGTACCTCCCAGTACATCCCAGAAAATATAAAAACTTATTTTTCTTCCAAGTTTAATAACTTTATCAAATAAAGATTGTTTAAAAAGGGTTACTAATACTAATATTTCTTAATACTTATATTAAGAAATAGAAAGTTATAATTAGGTGTTCGCTACTAAGTTATTTATAATTTGTTTATTGTTCTTAATTGTGTAACGGGTCCTACCATCTAGTTAATAAGTAAGATAGTAGTTGTTCTTTTTCCTTTTTTAAATGCAAATGTTTAATACACAAACTATAAAAAAAAATATTCGCCTTGACAAACTATCGTCATAAGTGACCGCTGCGTTAAGCTATTTTACAAGTTTTAAAGTAAACTTTATTGAGTAGTTAAAACATGATAAAAACTTGTAATGAGTAGAATGCGTAGAAAGATTTATTGCCAAAATGTTTATACGGTGTTTATACAAAAAATTTACAAAATGTACAAAATTTTTAACCAATGAAAATGTCTACATTAAAATATTTACAATCTTAACATTACAATATTGATTATAAATAAATCTTACAATTAACTGACATGCGATTGGTTGTAAATATGATCGATAGCGCGAACCTTTTGTACTCTTGGATTCTAAGAAAAGGCGCACACGTGATTTCATGCGGACGGTAGAGGTAAATAGGAGATAAATAAATATGTAGGAAGCTAGAGGCTAATAATCTTCCACTCACCAGATGTCGCTAGTTGTGATTGAGGTAAAGTTTTCTGTTACACAATGTCACTCAATTGAGAAATTAGTTTTAAATAATAGTTCATCAGTTTCTAGTGTTATATTAGTACACAACACAATGCGTCAGTGAATTAATCTTTAATTTTTTGTATACTTTTTTAAATTTATTTTAATTTTAGTTACATTTATAGATTGGTTCATTTATTTTTAATCTAATTAATATAAAATGTAACTAATAATACAGAAGGAAATATTAACCTTTATATTTTTCTAAGAAATTATCTTCTCCGGTACGAAATCTGTCAAATAATTTACCTCATTGTAAAGTGGCGCCGCCCTGGTGGCAGAAAAAGTTGTGGATCCTCTCATTGGGCGTAATAAAAGACCCGCAAAACAACTCTTCGCTAGAACCACATCATGCTATACCTACTAATTTTTTTGGGTAAAATTAAAATTTTGTACAACTGATTTCAATATAAATAACATGAGAACATCATCAATGTGGTTGAAGTCAATTAAATACGTATTATTAAGGATAACTCTAAAACTACTGGCCAGATCTTGATCAAATTTATATGACCACATGAGAAGTAGGTACCAGCTTTCAAATAAAAAAGAAAGAATCATCAAAATCGGTTTACCTAGAAAAAAGTTCTGAGGAAACACACATAAAAAAATACAGTCGAATTAGGAACCTCCTTCTTTTTTGAAGTCACTTTAATGCTACCAAATACTTCTCAAAATAGAACAGAAAAGAATCATTTCTGTTCAACATAGATTATAAATTATTCTTATCTTATTGAAAATATTTTTTAGTTCGACCACAGGTTTGGAAAAACCTCTGTCTTGGGATGAACCAGCAGGAAACCCAGCAGCGGGAGTTTTTAGAGTAAAATTATACAATATAAAATGGGTTGAACAATAATTATTTACAACACTCATAGGAGTTAAAGCCATGAAGCGATTACATCATTCCGATGGTTTTATTATTATCCATGTTATCCTTTATATTTAAGCGTTAAGCCATTTTATTAAGTCTTTCTTTAGGAAAAAACAATTAAACATTGTAATAGTGTATAATGTATATCTTGATTCAATGGGACTTTGTTGTAATAGCGTTTACATCTCCCCATGAATGAATTACTCAACCTGTAGAGTTGAATAAATGATACTTAGATTAAGGATAAGTCATCGCGTGCTTTGACGCATGATGACTTATCATTAATCTATGAACTGATATCACTAGCATGGAGTATAGAGTAGAAGGAGAACCATCTCATATGTGGAGAAAGTTGAAAAAGTGTCCAACTGTATACTAAAAATAGAGGTTCCAAAACCTACCACAATAGCGCTGGCGTCTGAAAAACTACGATATGAATATAGCTGTTGAAGATGGAGCGAAGTCAGCTGAATTCAAATAGTTAGTAAAATGCCAGTATACAAAACTTCAACTATTTACGTAGTGCAAAACCAAGCGGATTGGTCGGTCCTTGTTTATTTCTCCATCTTATTCTAATTACTTTTGGCGCTTTTTTTTAAATGTATCCTATGCTACCACAGCGCCACCCTTATTGGACGCGTCTTTACGGTCACTTATTCATATACATATACATTCATATACAAAATATATTTGCATGCTATTATAGATGGCTGAAAAAGCTGATCTACACTATATAATAACCACCTAAATGTACCCCTTTTTCAAAGCAAATAAATCTTCATTTCATTTCATTTCATTTCATTACAGAGATGGTCCTTCTTCTACTCTATACTCCATGATCACTAGATTGAGTTTGTTGCTCCATGTTACTTTTAATAACTTTCTGCGTTCTGTGTGTATGAATAATTAAAGAATTAATTTAAGAGCATAATTTATTACTCTATAGTGCTGTAGTTTCCTGATCAACTTCTTATGGTGAATACAGTCGAAGGCTTGGAAAGGTTACAAAATATACCCAAAGCATTCTCTGAAGTGAACATTTATGACGCATTTGAATATTATGCAGCATTTTGTGATATACGATAGACTAGGATGTATGGTTGTATATCCCTTTGCCTAGAAATAAAAAATGCTTATAAGTTAAAGAGATGTGCCAACTCAGAAATAACTCTACTCGAGTTAACTCGATATGAAATTCACGTAACTCGAGTTAAGCAATTAGAATTGGGAGGACGAAGCATCTTTACTAATACATAGTATAGTATCTTTACTAATACATGCTCATTTTGCAATAACCAGCCAAAAATGTAGAGAAGGTTTAAAATAAGTAATATAGGCATATGGTAAAAAAAAGCTAATTAAGAAAAATCTCAAAAATTTTGTCTTTTTATATTTTAAATTGAAAATGCGTGGTAATACTTTATTTTAACTGATTTTACTGCGTACGCACACATTCGTAAAGGTCGGTCGGCAGGCAAAAACGATGTTGACTATTAATCACAATTAATTTGAGATAATTTGAAATGGAAGTAGAAGCCTTATTTATTTATCATCATCGTAAACATAAGTAAGCTACAGAACACGCGTATTATTCATTGCCTATTATGCCAAACGTCAGCAGATGTTCTAGATACTGATACATAGTTAAAGCTATTGAATAGTGTTGCGTCATGGTTGACGCCTATGCGTTATTGTACATAACTTATTGATTGAATTAGGTAAGTATTTATTAAATATTAACTAGTTACGTAATTATAAGGTAGGTTTTAGTAGATCAATAAAACACAAGTACGAATTTATAAAAAAATGTTATTAATCAAACACAAAAGTCTAATTAATTTACTGACACTTTAAAAGGGTTAACATATTACATAATTGATTTTGATTGCTTGATCGGAGTTTAACGTACAAAATATTTCAATCTAATGTCAAT